AGATTCCAGATCCTGTTGCTACGGAAAAATACCTCACTGGGCCCATACACGTGGCAGGTGTTGGGTGCCTTGTTCTAAGAAGATACTCTCATTTAACTGGAGTGCTCCTTGGCAGTTGCAGATGCTGAGGGCACAGAAGTTCCAGATCCTAAAGAGGAAAATACCTGATGGAAGCTGGGTCGGGGAGGAGTCCGCTTGTTGAGGGGTACCGCAGAGGAGCTGGTGCGAGCGTCCGTCTGGGACCCACAAGGGAGATCCCACACCCTATTCCAGGTATCTGTTCACAGTACTACTACTACTACTACTATTGGTCCCTGGGACCAGATCGCAGTGATTTCGGCCTTAGCGGTTGCTAGGGGAGAAAGCTGTCCTCAGAAGTATTTCCAAATGGCATCCTAAAGACCCTAAACCCTCTCTCTCCTATTGATGTTGCAAATAAATACCCTAAAAAGACCCTAAGACTCGAGCCGTTCTGTCCGTGAGTGTCGGTGTGCTGTTGCTGATCAAAGGGGAATGGCAGCTGGAACCAACAGGTAGGAGAACCTATTTCAATATTCAGCGGCTCCTTCGGGGGTGAGCGCCACACATGGCAAAAGGAATCCTATAATTTTCTATGGGGACCATTCATACCTTTGCGTTGTGCTGCAGTGCAGCTTTGAAAAGGGTGCAGTTGCTTCTTTTGGTGCTACATAAAGAATTTTTAGCCTCATAGATTGCCACTGAAGGGCATGAAAAACTCACAAAAAACACATGTAATATGAAGACAAGCCTCCACCTCAAGCAACCCATACTTTATTTCACCTTCATTGACCAAAACAAAAATGCATTACACATGAAAACTCATTAAAATATATGAAAATGCATTTAAAAAGTGCTGAAAATGCAGACACCCTCAAATGTGAACAGAGGCTTCATTCGTGCTGACTGCTAACAAAATGATACTCAGAATTAATTATAAAGTAACATACTATAAAAAAAATATCACATAAAACGAACTCAGTAAACTTGGTCTGATTTTCTATCTGACTTGTTATCTACTTGGTATTTCCTTTTAGAAATATCTTGATCTTAAAAAATGAACCCAAGCCTGTTATATAAACACACTTGGAAGTGTGAAGTACCTAATCTGGGTCTTCTGGCAGGGTCTTGGGTAATGTTCATGAGCACTTTGTTTGTCCCTTGATCCAAATTCTTAGGTAAAATAGAGAGTATAAAGAAAAGAGACTTTCCGGCTCTAGACATGCAAATAATATTCACCCTGATCCATCCAGATAGGGAAGTGAAGGAGTCAGGGTGAATTCGGGGAAGTGAGAGATTGTCTAACTGTAAGGCCACATTTACATGGGGTTTTATGGGCCAGTAGCAGATTCCTGTGGCTGCAAATCACAGGTGGTTCCAGACAGTTGTGGCCGTGCAGCCTGTACAAATCAATTTCAGGTTGATAGGAGCTGCTGCTGTACTCCACATTGAATGGTTGCCTGTGGCTGGGAACAGATGACCAGCCCTGGATTGCGTCCAGGGCACGTCATCCATCCCTAGCCGTAGTTAGCTGGTGTATGTCCAGATACATGCGAATGGCACTGGACAGCTGTGGTTATTGTCACACTGTCATTGCTTTGAACAGGTTAAGTGGCTACAGTGTCCCAGAACCACCTGTGATTCCAATTGCAAGAATCTGTAGATTGCTGCTGAAGTAGTCCACTGCTGGCTCATAAAAGCCCAAGTGAATGGGGCCTATGAGGAGTTGTAACCTATATAGTAGTGTTCTTTTATTTTGAAATTTTTTATTTTGGCTGCCAAGGAATCAAAATAGACCTTTGAAAAGAGAACTGTGGTAACCGTTTAAAAAGTTTTTTCTTAATTCTTATAATTCTTAATTATAAGTGCATATGCACATACAGTTTTCTCTTAGTCCCTCTGCAAATTCCCACCAATACCTGTTGAGCCAGCCAGTGAAGACCTCCTAATTCAGCTTCCTGTGATGGGGTGGCAACAATGCAGCACTGCTCTTGAATTCAGAGCAGAGTTTCCACTTCTTGCACTACAGTGGGATAATATACTCTTTTGATATGACTGAAAACAAAAGGCAGTCTCTAATGATATCACAGATCCACAATACGCTTGGTAACCAGAGACCATGTCATCTTTGTCTAGGCTGTGATATCATGCAGCTCATAATGGGGTTTTTTATGCATGGCAGGACAGCAGTACTTAAAGGAGAACTATGGGGTAAGTGTTTTTCCCCATAGTTCTCCTAAGGGTCACGGGAGGACATAAACTATCGTCCTCCCGTGACCCAAAGCTCAGTATATCGCGACCGCCGCAGCCGGGATGGATCCCGACATTACTGTCGAGATCCACCCAGCTGCGTGATTGACAGCTGTACCCGCCCCCTCCCCCGTTCGTTCCGCCAGTCAGCTCTGGAGGATCAGAGCGGGGAAGGGGGGGGAATCCCTGCAGGGAGCTGTGACTGGTAGTCACAGCTCTCTGCAGAGAGATGATCGGGAAGTGAGCGAGCGCCGATATGTGGTCGCTCACTTCCCGATCTATTGAGGCGACGTGTGACAGTTTCATTGTCACACATGTTGGCTCGAACTATGAGGTTGAGTGATTTTCACTCACCTCATAGTTCTCCTTTAATAAATTAAAGCATGTTATTTGGTAATGTAATATGTAATTTGGTAATATGCCTCATTGGTTCATATGAAGTTTGGTTTTTAATAACAGGTCCACCTTAAATTCACTTCTTTAAAGTAAAACCAGGGCATAGCATATTTGTACATTATGGCAAACCTACCTTCTAGCTTTGGATTCTCCAACGATAATAGGTTTTTTATCTTCTCTGCTGTTTCTTTCACAACTGACACATTTTTTTGGGCCATTGGGTGACCAGTGATAATGTTACTCCCATGCATGAGCACTGGCGTTACATTATCCAGAACTATGCTCAATTATCTACAGATCCTGGGAGTAGATTGAGGATGTACACTGCACGGTGAATGATAGGAGCTTAGAAGGTGCCTATTCCAGGTATGTGACTCACTAGGTAGTCATACAATTGCTAGGGGAATGGAAAGGGTTTTGTGATGGAGGAGACATACACACCTCGTAGCAATGTTTTTAGACTTCAGTTTCACTTTAACAGGTCGATTCACCAAAGGGTGAAGAGTTTGGAGAAGGCAGGAGAAGTGAACAATCTAGGACAAAATAGTTGAGCTGGAAAATGAATTGAATTGGAAACTTTTTCCAGTTCAGCTATGTTGTCCTAGATTATTCACTTCTCCTGCCTTCTCCAAACTCTTCACCCTTTAGTGAATAACCCTATAAGTGTCAGGCAGAACATGGTCCTGGTTGGAAATGGAAACCAAAACCATAGCTCATTTCTGAAGTTAAGCATGAGGGCTTAATTTCCTGCTGTGGCTAAAGACCATGGGTCAAACAGGACAATGATGGCTTTCCAAAAATGTATCCGCGTGGCACATACAACATTACGGTTATCCAGATGTGACTGGAGACATCACCACTCTTCAAAAATGTGTTGTATTTTGTGAATTCACCACACTCAGAATATTATATTTGAATTTATAAGTCATGCAATGATATGAATTGTGCGATGTATACGGTTTAAACTGTAGGGCTAGATCCTGTTCATTCTTAGCACACAATGATAGGATGTAGGGAGTTTCCGTAGCCTTAGCTTTCTTGTAAAACATGTGCCTGAACATCAGTAGACAGCAGATGAGGGGAATCTCCATTCACTCAGCTCATTTACTAGATGCATGTCTGAACACACCCTGACAGGGTATGAGATACTGATCCTCTTTCTGTCAAACACTATGTACAGGTGAAACTCGAATAATTAGAATATCGTGCAAAAGTAATTGCAGTAAGTGCTGCAAAAGGGGCCCAAACCAAGTACTGAGTACATATGCATGCTTGTACTTTTCAGAGGTCCGATATTGTTCTATGTACAATCCTTGTTTTATTGATTGCATGTAATAATCTACTTTTTTGAGGTTGTGGATTTGGGGTTCTTGGGGTTTTCATGAGCTGTAAGCCATAATCATCACAATTGTGACAAATCACGGCTTGAATTATCTTGCTTTGCATGTAAGGAGTCTATCTCATATATTAGTTTCACCTTTTAAGTTGCATTAGTGAAATAAATGAACTTTGCACGATATTCTAATTATTCAAGTTTCACCTATAAGTGTCCAATTTATAGCCCCTATTAAGGGCTCATTTACACTAATGGGGCTTCATTATGCTCCGTATAACACTTGGTGTGCATTGTATAGCAGCAGTGCATTGCGTTGTTACAAAACATTAGACTCTTTTCTTTAACTTATTAAAGAAAAGAGTCTAATAAATGTATTTGAGCATGATGCAATACAACATGTTGCAATGCATTGTAACACATTGTGCTACTATTTTTTCATGCACACCTATGGAGTGGGTTGGTGTAAACTGAAACAATAGGATATAAGGCAAACTGCCTTTTCTGTGTGTTGAGATTGCATTGGACAAGGCTGCCCAGCACAGCCCCATGGGGCTGGTGTAAACAGGCCCTAAATAAGGTTGAGAGAATTAGTGCAGTGACCCTCAGCTGCCAATCAGAAATTAGCATCACAGGCCCTAACCAACATAAACATTTATTAGGACCTCCCGTTTAACTAGTAGGAGGCTGCAGGGGGAGGTTGCATGACCGCAGATGGCACCCATATCCAGTTTTAAATCAGGGCTCCTAAACTGTACCCCTACTTCTGACTAAACTGATAAGTAAAATTTGATTGCTAGTCATGGGTTGTGAATGTGATTCCTCTTTCTGCTTTATTGCTTTATATTTAAAATAAGACTACCTGGTAGGACTGCAAGGAGCAGTATGGAACAATAACCTGTACATCATAATCTAGAAGTCTAGTTTCTATGCATTTTATAAAGACATAGATTGACATATAGACATAGCGTAATTACATTTTACAAAGAAAGAAGACACTTACTGTTTCTGCTCCAAAACACCAGAGAGTGATAAAGAGTGCCCCAAAAGTCCATACTCGGATCATGAAGCCTTCCATGCTGCTTCAATTTCTCAAATGAAAGATGATTTCAGTGTGCAGTGCCTCCTCTCTGTCCTGCAGGTAATCTGTTCACCTCTCTGTTCCAGAGATAATCTGGTCACCTCTCCGTCCCAGAAATAATCTGCTCACCTCTCCGTCCTAGAGGTAATCTGGTCACCACTCTGTCCCAAAATTAATCCGTTCACCTCTCTGTTCTGCAGGTAATCCGTTCACCTCTCTGTTCCACAGGTAATATGTTTACCTCTCTGACCCGGAAGGTAATCTGTTCATCTCTCTGTCCCAGAAGGTAATCCGTTCACCCTTCTGTCCTGGAGGTAATCTGTTCACCCCTCTCTGACCCGGAGATAATCTATTCACCCCTCTGTTTTAGAGGTAAGTTGTTCACCTCTCTGTTCCGCAGGTAATCCGTTCACCTCTTTATCCTGGAGGTAATCTGTTCACCTCTATGTCCCGGAGGTAATCCCTGCTCCAGTCAATGTAACCTCCCTGCCTGTGCCCACTACATACACTTCAGTTATTTACAGCAACAGGAATGCAAGAGTCCCAACTATTCCCTCTTTCCATGCAGCACTCTTAAAATGTATGCCAGTCCTGACACAGTATACTGGCCATTCCCAGCGCTCATTCTTCCTAAATCCAATTATTCCAAGTGCTCCTCTTGTCTTCTCTCTTCTCCCACGAACCTTTAATGCAGCCAGTCACTTGATCATGTCCAAAGCGTCTGCTGAAGGGACTTTCAGTTCTTTCTTGTATCTGTGCTCTGCTACTTCCCTCTGCGTACAGTGTGTGGCTCCTACATTCTTTGCTATCTTCCCAGATGTGGAGCCAGCCCCTGCTCCTCCCTCACACTGACTGTGCTAAGCCTGGAGATACAGACATGGCTTTTACAGCCTCAGCTTTGCTAGATTGTGAAGGTATTTCAGACAGGTTTAAGCTGTAACAGGTAAAATAATATATATTAAAGCAGTGGTTCTCATCCTGTATAACCTCAGGACCCACATTTGTCTTTGGTCATTAAGTTGTGACCCAAGTTGCACCACATTGGAACGCACAGCATTGCAGTACCGCATGTTACAGTGCAAGCAATGAAACTGTGGGTGGCAGGTGTGTTTAGGGTGTGTGGTATTGTGTGGCAATCCCACTGTAGAATTGGATGTGATGATCACCTGGGACTCTCAGCCAGATGGGCTGAGACGTTTCAGGAAGCAAGGGATTGTCTGGATTCTGCTTGGGATCCTGGAACTGGGAGGTTTCAAGGTGATTCTGGAGGAAAGATGAGATCCCTAGTCCTGGGTCCAGGCTTTAGCAGTGGCCAGCACTCGATAATTGCACAGGTGTGCACAGCCATTAAGAAAAGGATGCTGGCTAGGGGAATGAGCTCCTGCTGGGAAAGAGGAACAGATCGTGTTCAGGTGTCAGGAGAACACCCCCCAGAATTCAGAGAGGAGTCAGGTGGTGAGTGTGCTGGAGGCACACTAAGACAGCCAGGGAGGCTGGGAGAGGACTGGTCAGGCTAGGAGAGCCGTGAGCCAGTGGGTCAGAAGTGCCAATGTTTAAAGTGGAAGCCAGGAGGCTATTCTTGTGTTGCTTTAAAGCCTTTCATGAATTATGCTGACAACCCCTGCGTGGGTATCCAAGATGGATTTATGAACTTTGTGTTGAATAAAAGTGGGCTACCAAGCCCTTAAACCGAAGATATTGCGAGTAGACTGCATTCTTAAGCGCTCACCATATGTGCTAATATCCCCAAACATCACAGGTGCCATTTAAATGAATGGCAACGCAACACTCCTCCCGCACCAGATCTCACACACTCACAGACATTCTCCCACACACATGCACACTCGCCCAAAAATGTTAGGTCTGGTTCACACCTAGGTGATTGCGGTTGTTGAGCTGTTTTCCCTCGTTTTTTTTAATGCGACTTGCTTTTAAAAACCATACGAAAAACACGTGGTTCTCAATGCATAAAGATGTCTATGGGATCAAAACTGCGCAGAGCTCCATCCATCCATGCATTGCTTGTACAGCTCCCTCGTAATCTCTGTAGAGGTGCCGGGAGCCAGAATGTGATGTCATGAGAGGGAGCTGTAAGCAATGCACATTTGGATGGAGCCCACCCCACCTTAAGCTGACACTCGGCACCAGGCAGCATATTTTAAATGGCTGTTTGGCACGAAACCTGACAGTGCTGCGTTATAGGGGAGGTCTCTCACCTAGTGCAGTGGAAGGCATGTGGTGACCCACTGAACATGGGGTCGCGACCCACTTTTGGTTCACGACCCACCAGTTGAGAACCACGGTACTAAAGTGCCATAATTTGAGGTAAAACACATTGCATTTATTTAAAGCAAACCTTTTGCTTGGATGAAAATCGAATGAAATAGAAGAAGCCTGTAGAAAAGAGGTTTTAGAAGAACCTCAGCCAGATGTAACAAGATAAACATGGACAGCTCATTAAAATTCTAAATAACAATTCCAGCTTTCCCTGCAATTCTCAGCCCCAATCCAGAGATTTCCACCGTTGTCCCTGTCAGCATGCTTCTTGTCCGCAGATGAACTGATTGTACTGCTTCTTCCTCTCACATGCCAACCCTGATGTACAGGGAGTGCAAAAGGCTAATACCAGGTTGAATTTAGGTACTTACACTGCTTTGCATTGAAAAAATAAATTTAAGGATGCATTAATGTTTACAGAGCTGGATTAATTTGTGTACTTTCTAATATAAGTCCAATCCTTGCATGCTTGCAGAGCCATGGGTTTTAATGCTCCTCCCTGCCCCGGTGCATGCTTTTGACCTGCGGCCACTACATGTCCTGTAGTGACATATTGGTTGGTAGCAGAAAGCACAGTACACAGCTGGGGACCAGGTATCTGACATAACCAGAAGTATTGAATATGCATCCATAACCATGCATGAGAGCAAAGGTTTTACTTTCTGTCTGCCGGACACAAAAGTACTTAACATCTTCTTTCACAGGATCCATTCGCTTTATCCTAATGACAGATTGCTTTAAATTGAACTTGCAATTTGTCCTTATTAATTAAAGTAACAGGTTCACTTTACAGGAGAAGCAGTAAGCAGGCTGTACTTACTTCTCTGTGCTCTTCTTTCACCCCAGTCGGCTGCCAGACCAACCGAGATTCCCATGTTGCTGAGCGAACCAGGTCCCTGCACCTGAAAAACAGTTACTAAGATGGCCAGATCTATCCCTCTGTATTGTCCTAGGTGTATGCACTTTCAGCATTCTTTCTGCAATCTTTGGTAACTCATTGAAAAAGCTGTTTTGTAATGTGTTTAGTGCACAACATAAATCCAGTGCACTTTCAGTATGTCACCTTCTGCACCGTCACACAGGTCTGGGCTTGTTTCTGTGTGACTGAATTACACTGAACTCTTGGGAAATGCACCAAAATGCATGCAAATGTGCTTATTACTTATTTCATATGCATTATTTTTTATTTATTTTTTATTTTAGTCTCCTTCTGGATCAACTCTAGGTAACTGTGGGCATGAAATTCTGTTTATTAAAATGTTTTTCTATTATTTATTACTCTAAAAGTTAAAATTACGAACTGTCTTTTTCCAACCCATGTAACTATGTAAAATTGTGGGAAATCAGTTGAAACCGGATTGCATTATCTATTGTAATTGTATGTGCTTGTATAGAGAAGAGGAATGTAACACGCATCAACATACATTGGACAAAATGAATGTGGTGGAAATACCTAATCAGTCTAAAAGAAACAGAAAACCGAATAAAGGGAAGTTATGCAAAATTATGTTTGGACCTCCTGAGTCATGTCAGCTTCATATTCTTCAGTCCTCATGGTTTAGGTCTAGAATTAATATCACAATTCCTAAAAAAAAGATGATTTAGAAATTTTAATTAATCTCCAGGCACAAATGAATGGTAAATTAACTTTTTACCTCTGGTATGTATAATACACAGGTATGTAAATTAGTGTTTATGCAGAAAAGAGACAAAGAGTGTTCTGCACATGTAATCCTTGCCAATGACCAACCTTCTTCCCATACAAATTTTCTGATATAGTCTAAATTGCAATAAAAACAACTGATTGCTCTTCACAAACGTACCAACATTCAATGCGTGAAATCCATCCCTGATCCTCAGGGTCGCTATCTTTTACTGCCGGCTAACTTATTGGAGGTGACCACACTATGCTATCGTGCTCCTAACACATCTCAGCTCCCTTTTTACTTTTGCATATACAGTACTTGAGATTATTTTTTTCACACAGTAAGGCCCCATTCACACCTAGGCGTATTGTAATATGCGCGTCTGTCGAGCGACCGTCACGCGTTTTTTTTACCGCGATTCGCGGTAAAAAAGTCGCGCGACCCCAAAGGCTACTTGGCTGTATCCCAATGGAAACCGCCCTACAAAGCGGCCCAAAGTAGTCCCGGGACCTTTTCAGGCGTGGGCCGTTTTGTAGGGCGTTAGGGACGGGCGGAAATACGCCTAGGTGGGAACAAGGGCATTGACTACAATGCTATTTATTTTTTTGACCGTTTTGTAGCGCGTTCGTCGAGCGTAGGACGCGCTACAAAACGGTCAGGTGTGAACGCAGCCTTAGGGCACTTTTTTTGTCTGTGGTGACTCTAACTTGGTACTTAACCCAAAATTAGATGGGTCCAAGCATTCCTTCTCGCAACCTCCCTCAGATTGCAAATGCTTCCATTACCTATTTTAATGTGCGGGCTTGGTGGATGCATGGCGTGAATTGAACCCTCTTTCGAGAGACTATACTTTTTACTCAGCCTCTCACAATCTCTATACCGTATTGACCATATTTGGATACACCGCTTAATCTTGCTGGAGCTTAATAAATCTAAGATCGCCTCGATTCCCTGGTCGGATCATGATCCCACTATGCTTTTCTGTCGCTCTATGATTCCTCATCCCAAACCGTCTTCCTGGTCATTTAATGTTTCTTTGCTTTCCCATTCTGAGATCCTGGAGAGTTTGACCTCTATCACTACTACCTATTTTCGGGAAAACGTGGGCTCTGTGTCCTAGAGTCTGAACTAGAGTCTGAACTTGAACGTCTTACGCAACTTGATAAAATTAGGACTGAACTTAATTTGTGTCTTACTGATATATCCGAGCGACAGTTGCGTTGGACGAGACAGCGCATTTACTTGCACAATAATAAACCTAGCTCTATGCTGGCTAAACGCTTTCGCTGTTTTGAACCTCCACGGTGCCCAATCGCTATACAAACTAGTTGTTCTGCAGTCATGAGCAATCCCTTAGTGGTCTTGGTGGAATTTCAACATCAATTAAGCCAACTTTATGATGCCCCTTCCCACTTTCCTGTTCCCAAAGCGGAATCTTTCTTCCAGGACTTCCAGCTCCCTCATCTTTTGGAACAGTATGTTTCCTTACTTGATGAAGGAAGAGGTTGCCTTAGCCATCAAATCGCTAAAACCTAACAAGTGAGCTAGACCCGATGGTTACTCTTCTTTGTTTTACAAGAAGCTTGCTGATGTCTTGGTCCCCCACTTGACTGCGGTCTTCAATTTTCTCAGGAGGGGCAATCTGCTCCCTCCTCAGGCACTTAGGGCCAATGTTGTTATGCATCCTAAACCAACTGTCGATCCCCATTCATGGTCCAATTACAGAGCTAGCTCACCTCTTAATACGGACGTAAAACTGTTGCAAAAGATTTTGGTGACCAGGATCAGCTGATTTCATAGTACTCTTGTACATAAAAATCAAGTCGATTTTATGCCTTCTAGACA